CGCCGATGGCGATGCCAACTTCCAAAGCAGCTTCGTCAGCCAGAATCACAGGTCTCAAAGCTCCCCATGTCCCAGTCACCCAGACGGAGGGGAGTCCTCCCCGCAGAGAGCTGCACCCCGCACGCCACGGCCGCCCGCGCGGGCTCCCGGCCGCGCTCGCGCTAGGAATACCCCCAGACAGACAGCATGAACAGCCGTCTCGGGCAGCCGGGCGACGCCCTGGAACTGACCGCGGAGCCACCGTCACCACGCGGAGGCGACGTCCGCCCACCGACCGTGGCCCGGAGTCCCCGCGAGTCGGGAGCACCCAAAAAAATGTCACTTTTCCTCTCTCGGCCGCCTAAGCCCCCCACGCCCACCCCCCAGCTTACGTTGAGATGCTCTAAGTCTGTATGCCTCGTGAAACTAGTACCACACTGTAGAATTAGGAAACCGGTAACCAAGTGTTTTTATTGCATATACTGTAGTCCTGTCTGAACGCCTTCTAGCAGGAATATAGTACCGTAGTGCTTATTCTGTGAATATCACATCTATTTTTTACATTGTACAGTAGAGACGACACAGGTGAACTCGGAAGTGGCCGGCATGCTCCACTATGGCACACAGACAACTTTTGCTGTAAGCAATACCTAGTGGTATGAGAATTCTATTTCAAGTCCTAAAATATTTCAACTTACAGCTTGTTTGGAAAAAAGAAATTTCCATTTTTTTTGTAAAAATATATGTTTCCTGATTACCTCTTGCTAATAAATCTATTCTATCTCAGGGTGAACGGTGAGTTTTGAGGGGTTTCATTCATTCGCTCGCGGGATATTTGACGGGCAGTTGGTCCTTACCAGGCCCTGGGCTGGGAGCAGAGAACTCAGGTGATGAGGAAGCCATCTCTGCTTTGGGGACCCTCAGTGTCACGAGGGAGGAGGTTTCGGTTATCTACCGCACCAGGAACGCATCGCTCCAAAATGCAATGGCTTCAAACAATTTGTGTGACCTTTCACAGTTCTGTGGACTGGCAGCTCTCGCCTGGGGTCTCTCGTGAGCTTAGACCACACAGCCGCTGGGGCCGGGGACACCCGAAGCCCGACTGGACCAGGTGTGTGAGAGAGACGGTGCTCTCAGGTGACTGGAAGGTGATGTCGGCGGGGGCCGAGCCCGGGCCGTGGGCCGCAGCGTCTGCTCACACGTGGCCTGGGCTTCTCGAGGCGCAGCGGCTCAGTCTGAAGCGTGGCCTTGCAAGAGGCTCAGGCGGGAGCTGCGAGGCTTCTATGACGCAGCCCCAGAATTCCGAGGACATCACGCCCACAGCAGTAATGACAATAATATCCCAGTGCCGGAATTTTTTTAAAGTCTGGGTGTCGCTGCCTTCTCTGTCCGCCCGTCCCCAGCTGCGCACGCTCGCCCTATGTTTAACAACCGTGGTCTCTTTCCCAACGACGGTGGGTGGCTACGGGGGCAGGAGTATCCGGTCATCGTTGTCACGGGAGTATGAAGGTGCCTCCCAGGAATTTGTCAAGCCCTGCGTGTCATACCTCCGCAACAGGCACCCGGCCCTGTCCCGGACTCCCTGGTCGCCAGGAGCCCAGGCCCCAGCTGTGGAGTGGAAAGCTACCAGGCAGAGAACTCGGACACGGGGCTCCCCCGCACTGCCCCCCAGCCCCAGGCCCCCCGTGCCAGACACCCAGAGCCGCCTCCGCGTGGGGGAGCCACACTGGCCTGGTCTACTCCACGCCCCTGCACCTCCCAGCACCCCCGCCCGCAGCCACCCAGAGCCGCCTCCGCGTCGGGGAGCCACACTGGCCTCGTCTACTTCTCCACGCCCCTGCACCTCCCAGCACCCCCGCCCGGTTATGCAAGCCAGAGGTCACCCATGACTCCCACTGTCAGGAGTCACCAGGGCCAGCGGACGCCAACCTGCTAATCATCCTTCCAGCCAGGCGACAGGTCCTCACCGCCTCCGCCACCACCCCGGACCAGCAGTTTTCAAGCTCTCTGGCCCTTCTGCACTCTTAAAAATTACTGAGAACCCCACAGAAAAACCCACATAAGTGTGTTATATCGGTGGATATAATTGTATTATTGATTAGTACGTCCAAAACTAAAACTTCGGGAAACTTTTAGCATAATTATTAATTCATTTAAAAATACCACCACCGGCAATTCCTCTTCTGGGTATACGAGGTTAAAAAGACACCCTACAGAATGGGAAAAAATATTTTTGCAACTCATGTATCTGAAAACAGTTTAGTATGCAGAATACATTGAAAACACTGTCACAACCAAATAAGCCAATTTAAAAAATGGGCAAAGGACTCGAGTAAGCATTTCTCCAAAGAAGACGTACAAAGGGCCAAGAAGCACATGAAAAGACGCCGGTCAGTGTCTGGTCACATCATTGGTCAGTAAGAAAATGCAGATCACAAGCACGATGAGATATTTCACGTTCGCCAAGCTGCCTGTGATAAAAACTTCAAAACTAAAAATGGAAAAAAACAACTTTCCGCAAGAGAAATAGGAACCTCAGACGCTGCTGTGAAAACCAGTCCGGCAGTTCCTCAAAAAGTTAAACGTAGAACCGCCACATGGCCCCGCGACGTCGCTGCGGGGCACGGAGCCAGGAGAATGGAAAACACGTCCGCGCGGAAACTGGCCACGAATGTGCAGAGCAGCCGAGCGGCGAAAACAACCGCACGTCCAGCGACAGACGAGCGGGCGCCCGAGCGTGTGCGTGCGCGACGAAATGTCATCCAGCCTGAAGGAGGAAGAAAAATGCTGATGCGCGCTGTGATTTGGATGAACCTTGAACACGTTATGCCAAGCGACAGAAGCCGGTCACAGACGGTCACATAGGATGGGATCCTCTCAAACAAAATGTCCAGAACGGACCCATCCGCGGACGAGGGAGCGGGTCAGCGGTTGCCAAGGCGGGTGGAGGGGAACAGGGCGTGGTTACTACGGGGCGTGGGGTGCTCTTGTGGGGTGGCGGAGTCTTGAAACTAGAAAGAGACTGTGGTCGCACGACACTGACCGTGCTGAATGCCCGGACCTGTACGCTCTAAAGTGGTAACTTGCACGTTATGTGACTCTCCCCTCAAGGAAGAGAGGGAGGACGGAAGGTAGCTGTGCTCCCTGGCGGCACCCCCGGTCCCCAGACGAGGCCAGCAGTAGGTGGGGGAGCTCGAGGTTGCATGCGATCCACGTGGTAGTGGGTCGCCAGGCCTCCCTCGCGGGAGGGGCCGGTCAGAGAGACCTTTGGGGTCAGTGTCCCCAACCGACCGGGCCTTGGAGGAATGCAAATGGCCGGGGTGTCCAGGGTGTTCGGGGAGGATGGGGGGAGCCTGTCTCAGGTGAGGAAGAGTCAGTGCCCGCGGCACGGGGACCTGGTGAGAAGTCTGGACTGGAGGGGACCAGGTAGGTGGCAGGTGGGAGGGGCCGGCAGAGTGGCAGGCGGGCGGGGGAGCCATCCAGAGGCGCCACACACGGCTCGATGGCGAAATCCCGCAGGCTCCTCCGGCCCAGCCTGATTCCATGTTTGTCACCTCTTATCAGCCCTCGTGGGGGCACATGCAGTAATGTGTGTTTACCGAGCAATTATGACCTCCTCTCAGGCCGAGTGACTCATGCGTGGCCCAGAAACAGCCGGGGCCCATTTCTCGCTGACCGGAAGGGAAGTCGGCATGTCCTGCCGGCCTGGGGTGGGGCCCAGGCAAACTCGCTGACCCTCACTGCCTCTTCCCCTCTGGGGCCCCTCCGGGCCCCGACCGCTGCTTTCCCCGCTCCTTTGCCCACCCGCAGACCCGTACACCCACTCCGGTCCCCTCCCGAGTCCTCTCCTGGCACCCAAGAGCCTCATTAGGAGGTGAGCACAGCGCCTCCACCACACTCCCATCCGGGACCCAAAAGCCCTTCAAATACCGCCTTCGACGCTGCCAGCCCCGCACCAGAGGACTCGGCACAACTAACGGTGACAACTGCTGCCACCGTGTGCTTGACGTGTGTCCGGCTCTGCTCAAGCACAGGCACCGGCTGGTTCTTTTACCCCCCGTTCCACTGAGAAGGGCAGGACACCAGAAACCGGATCTTCGAAATCAGCCAGCAGTGTGGCATGGGCACTGGCCACCCAGACTGAGGGCCAGACAGGCACAGACGAGCTGAAAAATCAACCAGCTCCACAGGACACTCTCCAACACAAAGAAGACAGATAAAGCATGGCAGCGCCCGGTGCCGAGCGTCGACTCAAGTTCGGGACAAGGACGTTTCCGTGGAGGACAGAGGGCAGGCAGGAGGAAGTGGACGGAGGCGGGGCTGTGCCAGGCCAGGGCGCTACCTGAGCGCAGCGGCGGCCGCGTCACAGGCCGGGTGGGGACACGGTACCGAAGGCCTTAGCCGACAGACGCGCACACCGCTGCGCCCACTACCTACCTCACTCTGCAAGCTCTGCTCACTCATCTGTACGCCCACCCACACATCCTAACGCCCACCCACACATCCTAACACCCACCCACACATCCTAACGCCCACCCGCCCACCTACCCAGCCAGCCAGCC